GCCTGCTCGCGCCTTTTTCTCTGTTTAAAGGTTTGATGGAGATGTAGATGCGCGGATAGATGGGTACATGCACGCATTCACTCACACACACACACACACATGTACTCACACACCTACATACTCACACACCTACATACTCACACACCTAGATACTCACACACCTACGTACTCGGACACCTACATACTCACACACCTACATACTCACACACCTACATACTCACACACCTACATACTCACACACTCACACACCTACATACTCACACACACTCACTCACACACTCACATACACACAGGACACCTACATATGCACAACCTCCCCCCGCGCTTCCCCGATTGGCGAGCCATACCTACGTCCCAGCCACACGTTTTTCCAACCCAGTCAGATCTGTGCGGAGGGAGGAATTTCCTCTGGGAATCTCGAGGGGTGGGTGGAGAGGGTGTTGTGTGGTATGTATGTATATGTATGTATGTATGTATGTATGTATGTATGTATGCATGTATGTATGTATGCATGTGCGTGTGTGTTGTGCATAGGTACCGTAGCTGGTGGGTAAGTAGTAGTACAGTACCCGTACCTTGAAGTTCGTAGCTTGGCAGAGTGGGGGGAGGGGCTGATCCCGTCTGCGCTCTTGCGCGCTCTCTGCGCGTAAAAAAAGATTTGAGCGTGAGCAGTATCGAGAATGGGTGGGAGAGTGTGAGTCACATGGCCATGCTGCTTTCAAATGCTGTCGCGGGGTCTTGTCCCTCTCCCGGACGCCCCGCCCCCAATGGGAAAAACAGGAAGAGCAAAGAGGAATGAATGGATTGATAAGAGCCGGACCGAGCGTACCCAGCACGGTGCTATTATGGTTTTTTCTTTACACAAAAACCCCCCTCCCCCCCCAGCCCCGCGCAATCCCAACTTTAAATAAACACCTACCGAAGCCTGCGCGAGATGGGGGAAAAAGTGGCCGTGGCGTGGCTGATTGTCGCGATCGCTCACGCTTGTGTATGTTTGCGAGGCCGAGCTCCATGGCGCGAGACTGACAGCGTGAGATACGGCATGGCAACCTATAGCTGTACGCGGATTGATTTTAGTGAGGTGGGACTTTTGTGCTGAAAAGGCGAAACGGATGCGGTAGAGGATCCCATTGATGAGCTGGAGCACACAACGGGCGTGAGTCAACCAAGTAGGTTGCAAATCTGAAACATTGGACCGCTGCGCGAGCACGGATAGAACGGCCTCAAGCAGGTAGAGCCATTCCACTGTTGTTTCGGACGACGCGTCTCGCTGTTGTTGTTGTTGTTGTTGCGGTGAGGAAGGCGGACGCGCATTTGTCAGATCAGGTAGGGCAGGCAATGAGCGGTCAGCATGTCATTCTCCCTTACGGCCGTGGAGGTGTGTTTGACAATTGTGGGATGAGACCATCGCTCCGTTACCATGACAGGTTACAGGCCGAAGGGTAGACCGTAGCAGCATCTCCTCTCTCGTGCGACCGGATCCTGGAGCTTGGAGCATCCTGAAAAGGCACGTGATTACACCGTCATGGCCTCGTGGATGACTCAACGACAATGGACTGGCCCCCTGAAAACGGCGGATGAGTTGTAAATGAGGTCATGGATGGAAGGACAAGGAAGATAGACACAACAGATGACATGGCACGGAGAGATGGCTGTAGAAAGAACAAGGGTCGACTCGACGCGTCCTCCAGCTTCAACTTGACCGTTGTATTGTATTATTGCCTCTCACTCGTGTGAGGACGTCTGGGCATCTTTGGACGAGCTGTTGCTTTGTGCCATTCAACATCCGCAGAGAGCGAGATTTGGGAGGATACTGACCTTTGAGTGCTCCCTTCCAAATTTCTCATTCTCGCTGATTTGATATCGGCGTGTCTCTCTTCACCCTCTTTTCAAAGTGGTCACAAGTGAGCCGTGGCTATACGATGCGCCTCCTCTTCATATGCCCTCATTGTCGTCCCGAGCCCAAAGCTTCACCGTGCGGTCCTTTCCTCCGCTCACAATCCAGCTCGCGTCGCTCGTTACATCGGTGCTGAACACTGGGCCTGAGTGTCCTTGCAATGTTTTGCAGTGAGCCCAGTCATCGGCAGAGAATATCTGAATATTCTTGTCGAATCCTGATGAGATGACAAACGTCGACGCTTTCTTTGGGATGACTTCGCCTTCTGCAGTCTCTTGAAGTGGTACGCCGCTTGCAGGCCCATCCGTGCCCCTATACCAGCGCAAGTCTGTGACACCTCCAGTGTTTGCGGCAATCGAGTTGGTTTCTCGCATAGCCCGGACATCCCAGCATTTCATAAAACCATCTCCAGATCCAGAGAGTAGACGGTGGCCGTCTGTGGCCCAATCAAGACCGTAAATTGGTTTGATGTGGCTTTCCAACATGTAGATGACACGACCTGTGCGAATATCCCACACACGTCCAATACTATCCAAGCCTGCGCTTGCAATCAGCGATCCATCTCCGTTGAAGCTCACAGCATAGACTTCCTTGGAGTGGCCTTCCTGAGTAAGAAGCTCTTGCCCCGTGTTGACATCCCACAGTCGCCATGTTGTGTCATCCGAAGCAGAAGCAAGATATCGTCCAGACGGATGGAATGCCAATCGACAGACACGGTCAGTATGCCCTTCGAGAGTCCGTAACGGCTTATCGTCCTCCAGTGACCATAGTTGAATCTTTCCACCGGCGCCGCCAGACGCAAAGTTTACGCTCGAAGTCGATACCTGGCTGTCGGGCAGGGTCGCGCCTGGCATCCAGTCAATACCAGTTGTGCGCTCGGTATGTGCTCCACGATACGCTTTCTTCTGCGTTAGACTCGGTATCTCCAACAGCGTAACTTTGCCACCCCAGGTACCATATGCGATGTATTGGCCATTGGGTGAAACTCGAACGATGCTCACTGGCCGGTCTGCAGTTTGCGATCCGTACAACTCGAACCCCTTCAGCCGGTCTTTGATCTTATTGCGAAACTCAATGTGTGTCTTCAGCGGTATTGTGGCTTCGCGACGCTGGTATGCGATTCGGTCCTTGGCCCGGGGGAGAGAGTATTTGGCCATATCACGTCGCGCATCGAGCAGGGACTGCGTGCCCTGGGTGTAGAATTCCTCCTGTTCATCGCCAGGCGCATCGTCTGCCTCCTGCATTTCTACATCTGCTGCATCTTGGCCAAGTGCCTCGGCAGCGTCAGCCAACAGGGCTCGAAGACGATCTCGTCGCTCCGAAGGTCCTTCACCAAACAGCGTTATGGGCTCTCCCAGCGACCGCAGCTTGGCTTTGACATGACGATCCGCAGTCGGCACTATCAGCTGCGCGGCCCGTCGCTTACGATCGAATTCATCCATGAGGGTCGCAGCATTTTGGTTTCCTGCACCTGGCAGAGCATGGTCGCGGTCGATGGCTGGTTGGGTTAGCCCCTAGCAAGCACCACAGGTGCACTCTGGGAGAACATACGGACGTTGCCAAAGTCGATGCCATCCATTGCGCCATCCTAGACATGTTGATCAGCTTCATGTTGTGAGCATACCGTGTCAGTACATAGACAGCTCGTCAAGCACGTGAAGGCATCTCTCTTGCCTAATTGCCAAGTCTAAAAGCAACTCACCCCGCCATTTTCCTCCTCCACATAGGCCTGACGCGCCGGATGCATACTCATGCTTGTGATCTGTCCCACCACACGGGAAGGTTTGTTGCTGCTCGAGATAAGTGAGCTTCGAGAAAGGAAGTCTGGTTCCCCAGCTAACTATCGGCCGTTCCGCAGTTTAGGCGGTAGGGCTGGGCTAACTTAGCGCCGGTTATGTCATGTCCTATGGGCACCCGTGCTCCAGAGACGCAAGACACCTGCTGTCTGTTTTGACAAGTGGACAAGCCAACGTCAAATTGGGCAATGACCTTTGTCAAGACAAGTCTGACAATCACCTAGGTGGCAATCTTTTCCGCAAGACAATATCCTCGCCGCCATGCTACTGGTCATGGTACGTACCGCAATCATAGCCCTCAGACGACAGACACTAGCCGGATCGGCAATGACGACCGCCAATGCCCTTCCCTAGGCCAAAAGTCTCTTTTGCCTTCAACATTCATTGTCACTCACACTTATACCGCGATTATGCGCAACAATCACTTTCTGCACCTCGCTATTGTCTCGTCTTCTACGCACTGATTCTTTTGCCTCTAGTTTTGGGCGGTGGCCATGTCATTCGCCATTACCAGCGCCGCGGGTCCCGCTCGGTTATCACAAATGTCGCGACGCGCAACCTCTACAAGCTTCTTCATGTTGGCCCTCTCCGCATCCTCAATGGGGGCGTCTGGACAATCTAGCCGGTCTAGCCAAGTGCAGTACGCCCCGCCAACCTGCCCCCTCAACAGGAACACCTCGCCTGCTACAATCGGGCTGCGATCGTTGCATTCCACTTCACACAATTGGAAAGCCATGCCACAGTTCACCTACCATGTCGCTGCATCCTATTCGGCAAAACAAGACCGTTTCAATGCGGAGCAGAACCTCTTCACAAACCCGCCCTATGACCCCAGCATAAGCAAGGATACCGATGTACGAGAGTGCAAGGGAGCGTTGGACAAGCGGCGTCGGGCAAAGAGTGGTCAAGATGCTTTTTTTTACAGTCAGGTGGGCAACACGAACACGACGGCATTTGGTGTAGCAGATGGTGTAGGAGGATGGGTCGAATCTGGCCTGGACCCCGCCGACTTCTCCCATGGATTGTGCGAGTACATGGCTTGCGCTGCTCGATCATGGCCGCACGGCTCGAACACGACTTCGTTACACCCGAGAGACCTGCTACAGGTCGCTTATGATGAAGTGACCGAGGACCGCAGCATTGAAGGTGGAGGCAGCACAGCCTGTCTGGCCGTCGCAGAACCAAACGGCCATGTCGAAGTGGCCAATCTGGGCGACTCAGGATTCATGCACCTAGGTTTGAACGCCGTGCGACATTTCACGCAGCCCCAGACGCACGCCTTCAATACCCCGTACCAGCTCTCCAAGACGCCCAAGCGCATGCTCGTGCAAATGGCTGTGTTTGGTGGACCCGCAGCACTATCAGACTTGCCCAAGGAATCGAGTGTGACGCACCACAAAGTGCGCCATGGAGATGTGCTCGTCTTTGCAACAGATGGCGTATGGGATAACCTCAGCCCACAGGATGCACTAGGCATCGTCAGTCGCCACATGGTTGACCTAGGTGCGTGGGTAGAGAAGGATGGAACGCTGGAAGTTGGACATGATCTTGCGAAGCTGGTGCAAGCGGATTCAGCTCGCAAGGCAGATAGCGGGTCCCTCCAAGCTAAGATTGCAACAGCGATTGCGAAGGAAGCCAAGATAACTGGATTGAACACTCGCCGAGATGGACCATTTGCAAGGGAAGTGCAAAAATACTACCCTGGAGAGAACTGGCATGGTGGCAAACCCGACGACATCGCTGCTGTTGTAGCTATTGTGCTTGAGCAGGCACCGCCCCGCGCAAAATTATAATTACATTCTGTCATTGTCTTGTTGTTTGGCTGCATGGGAAGGCGTTTGGACATATATCAGAGCACAGAGAATCTGGGCGGCGCAAGAGGGTAGAAGTTTACAGGTTGGTGTCTATCTCGATAGTACAGTAGATATACCGCATCTTTCAATGACTGTTATGTACACGACTATAAAAGGAGGCTGGGAATAACAGTCGCATAATACTCATAGTGAGGCAGGCAGACCTGATGGGCTACGTTTGGAGACGTAGTCTAGAGGTAGTGCTCACCACTCGGCCTCTACTACAAGGTCGATTGAAGATAAAGGTGTCTTCGTACTCGCAGAAAACTTCAAGAAGCATATGGCACTTCGTGTATCGTACATGGTGTTTCGACCGTTGGCTATCATTACTCGTGCCGGTGTATTTGGACGGTTGGGCCTAGGCTGGGTGTTTGTTTATGGAGAGCGGGCAGTTGCCTGGCAACGCGCCCACGCGAACACCAGCAATTGGCTGCCGCGCGCTTTGAACGTCAACCAGAACTCACCCACCGCCAGCATCCATCCCTACGACAAACAGCCGCCTACCACCTAGGCCTTATGTATGCGCAACTAACACTACAGTCGACAATCGCTAGCCAGCATATCCTCCCATCTTCCTCATAACGACGCGCCTGGTCCACCGCGCGAAACCACGACAATGGCTACCGCATCACCCACGCCTCTGGGCGGCTCGTCGTATGGGCGCATGCGCTCGCATTCTATGATCCGACCCAGGAGAGATTCCCCTTTGTCGGTGCTTGGACAGTCGCAGGGCTTCTCCGCAGACGCGCCCATGATGCAAAACATCAACATCGGCGACAGCTCCGATGACGAAATCCCTCAGCCCATGAAATTGAGCGCTTTGACGACAGCTCTGCTGGCGCAAAATGATGTCATGTCGCCAGAGAAGAGGAAGCCCAAGCTACGAATTACGCGCAACAGCTCTGGCTCAAATACACCGGTGCAGGATACCGTCACACCTGCGCCGAGTCTGCGCATAAAACGAGTACCACTACGAGGCGCCCCTATGAGGAGGTTGCGAAGAACGCCTCAAAGCGAAGAAGAACACCCTCCCTCTCAAGATCAAGAAAATCTGCCCGTTTCAGTGGTCAAAGTACAGCATGAGAACGTCCCCGATTCCGTCCTTAAAGTTACCGTATCTGTCATGAAAGTAGCAGAGGATCGAAACGCACAGCAACCATCACAATCACAATCGCCCATCCAGAGACAATCACATCAGCAAGAAAGACCAATGCCATTACAGTCGATAAGCGCGAATACACCCCGAAGACCAGCACCACCCCCACCTCCACCAAAGATGTCAGTCTTAGAGACAGCCACAGTTGCCGCTGGAGCAGCTACTACCAAGACGAGAGAGCGAAAAAAGCGTAGTACGCTATCCGTGAATGGAAAGCATTACTCGCAAATGGATCGGATAGGAAGAGGGGGTAGTTCGGCCGTGTATCGGGTCATGGCGGAAAATTTCAAGTTACTAGCACTCAAAAGAGTGAAGCTTGAAGATGCAGACGAGGCTGCGGTTCGAGGTTACAAGGGCGAAATCGACTTGTTACAAAAGCTCAAGAATGTAGATAGGGTTGTGCGACTCTACGACTGGGAGGTAGATGAGCAGCGACAGGTTCTCAGCGTGGTATGTCTCAATCAGCTCCAAGACAAAGGCAAACTTGCCGCACATTTTGCATGTGACTAACATACCATAGCTCATGGAACTTGGAGAGTCTGACCTAGCACGCATAATACGAATGAAGCTTGACCCAGCTGATGGTGACGGTAAACTTGATTTGAGTTTCACCCGCTACTACTGGAAAGAGATGCTTGAATGCGTCGGCGCAGTCCATGATCACGACATTGTACACTCTGACCTTAAACCCGCAAACTTTCTCCTCACTTCCGGCCGCCTCAAACTCATCGACTTTGGCATTGCCAACGCCATCGAAGTCGACCACACAGTGAACGTGCATCGCGACTCGCACATCGGCACACCAAACTACATGTCTCCCGAGTCGCTCGAAGATTCCGCCGGCGGAGCCAAAGGCCAACTGTCCAACGGCAATGGCAGCAAAGACATGGCCCTGGGCAAGCCATCGGATGTGTGGAGTCTGGGCTGTATCCTCTACCAAATGGTCTACGGCCGGCCCCCCTTCGCCCACATCGCCAATCAAATGGCCCGCGTGCTCGCCATTGTGAATCGCGACTACGAAATCCAATTCCCCGACCTCGGCGTCGGGGATGTTCGCGTGCCCCCAGGTCTCAAAGCAACCATGCGCCGCTGTCTCAACCGCGACGCCTCCAAACGGCCCAACATTGCACAGCTCCTCGACGAGCGCGATCCCTTTTTGTACCCAGACGGCGGCGAGGATTTGCGAATCCCACAGGATCTGCTCGGCCAAATCATCCAGCGCGTTGCGGATCGGTTTAGAGATCCGAATAAAAGTGCGCCGACGGATGAGGAGATCCGTCAGTATCCAGCGAGTTTTTACGAGAAGATTAGGCAGTTGCTTGAGCAGGACTGATTGATCATGGCTTTGTCTATTTATCTTATCTATCCACCACCCACTTGCATCCTTTTGGAAAGAAATTTCCTTGCCTCTTTGGGAGCTGGCGCTTGCGAAAACTGTATGACCGATTTTCCTCTGGGCTCCAGTGTTGTTTTTGACTTTTTCAGAGGGGTTTTCTTGGATCCTTATTCCCCCTCCCTTTTTCTTTGGGCTCAAGAGCATTTGGAGCGTTTACTAGCGAGGCGCTTTTCTGGCTGGTTCATGTTTGTTCGATCCCATGGCAGGTTCTTCTCATGCGAGGCATGTGCTTTCTTTTGTCTTCACTGTGCTCTCGACGCCTTTTTTATTGTATATATACCCGTGTTTTGAGATGATCGTGGTGAAATAATGACTCTTTTACCTTTTATTGTTGATGTATTTGTGGATATGTCGTTGGCCTTCCTAAAAACACGGAATGGGTTTCAACTGGCTTGACTTGAATTGATGAAGTTCGCGGGAGATGCTGTGTAGGGTCAATGCGGACACTTCTGACGTGGACTCAATCCCTAGAGTGTGAGGGGACCTCCTGCACTACACGCACGTGCTCGCCCCTGACGATTTGAGATCGAAATCCATCTAACGCTGCATGTATATGGTGAGCTGCTCAAGATCTCCCTATTTGAGTACGAATCCTTCAATTATATCGTGGGAGCTTCATGCGCATTCTGTATAGGTGATGGGGTAAGGTACTCAGGTGATGATATACGTCGATCAAGGCAGGAGTGTGGGCGGCCAAATTCAATGGACCTCTGTGCAAGTGCTTTAGCCGTGCTTGAAATGTAGAGTGAAGTCGCTTAGCACACTTTATGAATTCTAATAGTGAATTTATCACTGCAAGGCAATGAAGGTAACGATTGAATCATTTCTAACTAAGAAAAGTGGAGCTGACTTGGAGCTGTACTGTGTAAGCTTCGATGCTGTGGAGACAGTCACCTCTACAGCGACCTCGCGCTTTCAGTACAAGCTTATCACGTATGAGTGTCACCTCTCTCTCCCATTAGCAATCTTCTGGGAATCTCGTCGCTCACCTTCTTCTTCGCCTGCACTCCCTATTTACTGTACCCATGATTTTTCATTTGTGAGCAGACCAAAGAATTATCGCTCGACATTCGATTCCGCCTAGGTTGATTTAAGCCTATACCTTCTAGGTGTAAAATCTACATGGCTTTGAGAGATAGTTGCTATGAAGTTCAAATCCGTTCAGTATTTTGTGGAAGATACTGAATGGGTTTAATTTTACTTGCTTGAGTTCTCGATGATAAGTTCACTGCAACAACATGCAGGCGAGCGGAAACGTGGAGTAAAACTCCAATGGCGACTCATCATTCTTATAGCACTTCCAGGCGAGTTATCTTCGTCAAAGTTCCATGGTAACAATTTTTTGGCGTGGAACTGTGCAGGTGTTTAAGACATATATTGAATTTTGGAGTCCCTGCTACATAAGAATGATAGCACTGTCTTCGCTCGTTTCTTACACCGATCCAACTTTACTACATTATTCATGTCCCTGAACATCCGACTCATATGAACCTCTTCACTCAAACGCACCAGCTCTCACTCCAGTAAGTTAGTATGCCAGCCTTCAGCTCTCAAAAACGACGTCGATGTCTCCACGTCTCGTCCTAATATGTCTATCCCGTCTTTTTTCGTCTTTTCTATTTCTGTGCGGCCACGTGAATATAACAGCACGTCTTAGACTTGGGAGCAATATTGATGGAACTGTCCAGATCGAATTATTGGTCTGGAGTAGCCCTCCAATACTACGTTCATCCGAGTCACATCTCTCGTTTCAGTACTGAGCCTCATGTGATTAATGCTGTTCTGTCCGAAGGAATGAAGTCTGCGGAACCAATCGAAGCAGGTGATTTTGGCACTCTTGGATACACTGGCATGATATGGTAGTATATTCGCTTTCGTATAAATCTGTCAGCAGGTTTGTCCTCAGGATCGATTGGGTTGTGAGATTTACAACATTTCTGTGGCGGAAATTTGCTGTACGCTCGATGCTGAATATTTTGTCTCCGAGGACATGCTCCCATATCTGGGTTCTAATTTCGGCAGGTAGACGAAGGAGAGGCAAATCTTGCACATTCTTCTTTCTGCTACATGTTGCCAGTACTTTGTGAAAATAGCATAACGTTCACGGCGTCTTAGTCACTTACATCTTTGTCACGCGTCATGCGCTTGGTCTTCAGCATACCGTTCTCGAACTGACAGCCCGAATGGCCAGCGTGGGTAACTTTCTGTGAGCGTTGCGACTTGATTGACTTCTTCTGGTTGACTTCCATGTAATGACTTAGATATGCAATTGAAGAAAGTTACAAAGAAGGTGGAGGGATTGAAGAGGTGGGGGAGTCAACTGCAAGTTATATAGAGATTTGCTTGGAAATTTGGTAGAATCCTTGGTCATGCTTCCTTGACTTGAGCACCTAGTAGGAGAGCGTTTATGTTGCAACACTGTTATTGTTTGGGAAACTACCTGCGGAGCACACAGATGGTATTACCTACTCACGAAGAAGCTTATGTTCTCCGATGTACCGCTGCAACAGATTTAGTTGTACTCATGTGTCCATAGGTCATATAACACTACGCTATGACCATATCGAGATAAAAGACAAGGCTGCTGTATAGTCTGTAGTAGTCCAGAGGCATATAAGGAAAGCTAGTGAGATTATAATGAGGCCGTCACTCTTGATCCTTGGAGTCCATGCATCGAGAATTATGACCTCTTTGAGATTTTGCAAGGAGCCAGAACAAAAGTTTGACCTTCAAACCTCCACTCAAACGCTCCACATGCTGTCCACACACCGTCTCAAGCCCCAAGAATCCCAAATCCCCCACCCTATCTACCACGCCAACCTACACTCAAACCCAAACTCGAAGGCCTTCCGGCCCCTGCTCACCCTCTTCTCGATCCTCTGATCGATGTTCTCCTTCCTCCACCTCTGTTCGATGGCCGCACGCAGCCTCGCACAGTTCACTGAGAAATCCAAAACAACAAGTCTCAACCGCGGCAACCGTTCCACCAAGTCAGCCACGCGGTAGGACATAAAAGGAAGACCTAAAGTGCCTTGTAACAGCCAGTACCTCAACTCAATATGAATATCACAAATCATATTCACGCCGGTCGGTGGCAGTGGCCGAAGCAACAAGTACACGCATGATTTAGGGTAGGTGAAGAAGCAATTGTAAGTGTAAGGATACAGCATGGCTTCCGCGTAGATCTGGCGGCATGCTCGGAGGAGGGCCACGCCACAAGTGTTGGGGGCCGGACCTGTCGGTTTGGCAACCATGACCTTGGTAGCCCTATAGTCTATGTAGAACTTGTTACCACCGAGGGCGAGCTGCCAGATTTGGTTCCGGATTTCAGGGGGGAGACGGAGAAGAGGGGAAGCGATGTTTTGTTTGCAGCTGTTGCGGTGTTGGTTGGCATTTTCTCCTATGTGGTTTGTGGGGTTGGGGACTTACATTTTGAAGTATTTCCCGCTCTTACGCTCGACGTTTAGTAGGCCGTTGTCGAATCGTCGGACGGGAGGGTAGCGCTTCCTTTTCTTGATTGCAATGGAGCTGGACGATAGGCCAGGTTTTGGTTGAGTTGAGGGCGTGTGTCTTTTGGGGGCTATGTTATCTGCTTGGGTGTGGGTATGTGATTGGGATGTAGATATATGATTGGGTGTGGGAATAGGATGGTGGAGACCGGAAGATGGAAAGTTTGGACGGGAGGAAGTCTTATATTTATTATCCTGTTTGGGGGCCACTCACATAAAAATAGCCGCTTTAGGTTCTCTCACTTGTTAAGTAAAGGCAGGACGATGATGTGGCTTACGGAAGATGGATTGCTTGCTTTCCTTCACCATTGAGGCCGCTCAGGCGGACATACAGACTGAAGTTTACAATTGAGCTCATTGTCACAAAACCATTGAGAGAGCATTTCGCCAGCATACATTGCAAGATAGACTTGGTATTGGGCAATTTCCCTCTGATGTTCCGGTTTATACCATACCAAATCGCTAGGGCTGCCTATACTTCTTGGAATGCTCTTCTTACCGTTCAGAAGGTCAATCCCGATTCGATCACAAGCACATGCACTGTGTATGGATAGAATATCTAGAACCAATGATATCCATGTGTCTGAATACAGGTCGATGAAGCGAGATGGACCTCAGGTTAACACAGCCGATTCGTACTCAGCGACAATCTCATCAATATCTTTGTACTTCCTCATGAACATATCCAATAAAAATTGCCGGGCCTCCCCAGTGATTTCTATCCAACGATATAGACGCCCATCCCTCTTGGGCTCGTGAAGATAGATTCTTTTAACGACACGTCTCAAACTGCCGAAGATCTTTGTTATAGGTGGACGAGAGTATCTTGCAGATTTTCTCAAGCGACGTGATTCCAGGCACTTGCTGAACTGGAGTTCCATGATGTTGTCTCGCACGTATTGGGGTAAGTCCTTTGTCTTTGTCTTTTTGTTGTGTTGACCATCAAGGATGTTGAGCATGTTGCGTTGGTAGGGGTAGCATATTGCCTCTGCGTAGATCTGGCGGCATGTGCGTAGAAGGGCAAGGCTATACTTTGGCTCTTGTCGGCTCTTGTCTGTACGTGTGTATTGATTTACCGTGCAGATTCGCCCATGATGAAGCCATGCGTTCAGCTCTGTCCCAACTAATGCCAATTGCCAGATCTGAGTCCGAATTTCAGACGGCAGGCAAAGCAAAGGCGGCCGAGCATTCTGCTTTGTACTATGATATGTCAGATCAACTTTGAGTCTTCCATATTACGTGTATGGCAAAACCATGAGCTTACATCTTGCTGTACTTTCCACTCTTGCGCTCAACGTCCAATATGCCGTTCTCAAAGCGACGGACAGGCTTGTACTTGCGCTTGGACTTCTCAACCCGAGCATCAATGAGTTCTTTGCTGGATGGGAGTTCTTTGGCTGCGCTTTTCTTGGGCGCCATGGCTGCTGGTGTGGTTGTACCGATGCAGATGTTGGGAGGTGGAGGGGGGAAACGGTGAAAAGGAAGAGACTGGAGGCCGCTCAGGGGGGTAATACGTGGTGAATGATGGAAAAGAATTCGAGTGAACTTCATTTTTCTGCTCTTACCCTGTTGGTGAAGGTGAGACGCGTTACTGGCAAGAGCGACACCTGCTCCACGTCACTAGCAATCTCACCTGTGGTAAGTATAATATATTAATTTCTACTTTCTTCACTGTTAGCTTTACCTACAAGCTGCCGACCAAAATTGAGCAAGTCAACTTCACTAGTACAAGAATTCACAATATTCCATAAGCTACCAGACCTGTTCCAGGTAGGGCTGGATCCTCAGTAAGTATGCAATCGACTTTTCTCTTTCAAAAAGCCACAGAGCGCCCTACAAGTAATCCTACCAGTTATACTGAGATATTTTCAGTTTTTCGTGTAAATGCACACTTCTACCACATGAGCCTTTTTGGGGGTTTACAGGACGGTCAGGTGAACAGTGAATTATTTATTACTACGAGAACTGCGATATCCACGAAGCAGAATTACCTCCTCACATCCTTACTCATCGTCAACTCAGCTTATACCTTCGCCCTCGTTCTCACCAGCCCGGACCAGATTTTGCGGGTGATTCTTTCCGATATGGTGTCGGATTCCCACCTGCTCACCGGTCTGGCTACTGGTATACAAACTCGAGCGTCACGTCCCAGCCAGCTCTTCTGAACTGGCTGGTGAAGCCGTTTTTCTGCCTCAACTTACCTTGCTCATCGATCGCACCCGTGGACACAACCACAACTACCTGCTTCAACTCACGAGATAGACCCCGTAGGGAGACGCCCAAAACACCCACTTCGTCCTCGCGATTGTCCCAGCGTGAGTACGGCTCACACTCGAGACGAATCTGCTTGATGCTGTCGTGGGCGTAGCCCTTCATCTGATCCATCGCCTGTGCGGCGAACTTGCTGAACACGAAGGTGTTAGCCTGGTATGGCAGCAACGCCGTCTCAATGTACACCTGGCAACAGGTCTGGAGGAGTGCAAAGCACTGCCTCGGGCAATTTTTGCCCTTGATCTTGGGGAGAGGCCTCAGGCCCTCACTCCCAATCTCGAGCGTATGACCGCTGAGGGCCAACTGCCAGATCTGGTTCCGGATCTCGGCCGGCAAACGCAGAAGTGGTGAGTCCCTCGCGTTCTGTTCCAAGCTAAAAACTAATCAGTGCCTTTATTGGTGCTAGAATTGTCTAGTGACAGTGTGATATCTGTTAAGCCTACAGTTCGAGCTCCCTCTCACCCTTGGAATCCATGTCGATGACCCCATTGCTGAGACGCTGGATGCTGTCCATGCTCTTCGCCTTAGTGATACACGAGCCGGTCACGGCATGAGTCTGAAGTTCCTTGCTGGGTGAAGGACGCCGGGCGGCCCTGGTGAGGTTGGCGGGTGTGGGTGAGGGAATTGAAAGAGAGAAACGTGTATTTGGAAAGGGAAATGGCTGTGGTAAGAGAGGATGATAGCCTACGCCCACAATGCCAAGCAATCTAGTACTGACATGCAATCCGTGTAACTATAGACAGCCGCCTGTAGAATAGTCATAACTGCAACATCAGCTCGCTGCCCTACGATGGTGACGGTGAGAGTTGCCTGCTCCGTCTCTCATCTATGTATGCCTTATTAAAATATTGGACTATGGACTGCCCGTGAAATTGTATCTTTGGATTTGCGTCTCTACAATGTCTGGTCAGTCTCACCCTTTAGGAAGGAGCTCGAGGACGAGTTTCCCATACCTACAAATGCACTGCCAAGCGCCTTTGGCCCCTACATGATTGTCTACGCAACGTCGACGAACGCCCTCTTCCTCCTCCCTCCAATCCTCTCCTTCTCCTCTGCCTCCATATCCTCCAGTCTCACAAACCTCGCCTCATCGACTCTTTCGCTCACATACCTCAGTGCAGCCACATTGAATCCGATCTGATCTTTATTCCCCACTAACGTCTTCCTTAGCTCCGCTCTCATGTTTTCCAACACTGTTTTCAGCTCCCGGCTCGCAACAATCTGTTTCTGATGCGTCTTCAGCATGAAGAAGAGGACGCGGCAGGTAAGAGTGACATTCCATTGTTTCTGGACCCACAAGGCTATGAAGGTGAAAAGAGCGGGTAGTGATGCGAATGGAAGAACGAGAAGCGCGTCATGGAGTTGTGCAGCAGGTATCTTGGACAAGGTGTTGAGAACGTGGCGTTCTGCTGATATATTTCCCAAGGCAAGGTACAACGGATTCCGCTGCGGTGGAGCCATTTTTGGGTTGAGTCTGCGCTGCGCTTCCCAGTCTCGAACAACTTCTAAGTCTTCGATGCCGAGATCTAGTGCTTCTTGAATGCGCTCACCGGCCGTGAGGGTGCTAATAGTCTGTTTGGATGCGTCGACTGCTTCGGCACGGTCACCGTTGAGGTTGTCTTCATCTTCAAGAGAAGTGGCGAGTGTTTTTTCATACATGTCTTCCAATTCACGCTCACGCTCTTCTTCAAGAAAGATTGGTTCGTCAGACCGCGTCCAAATGCGTATGCTCTTGTCGTGACTGGCTGTGACGATGAAGTCGCCTGTTCGGGCGACGGTCATGGCCCAAATCTCGCCATGATGACCCTTGAACTTCTGGATTTGCTCAAATTTATCGCCGTCCCAGCTCTTGATTGTGCGGTCTTTGCTGGCGCTGAAGAAGATGTGTCGTTCATCGGTGTCAACGGGATGCGGGATGAAAGAAATTTGCATGATGCTGTCTTCGTGGCCGAAGAGGGCTTTGTGACAGTCACCAAAATCAAGACCCCAGATTCGAACATTTTTATCGGCCGAGCATGTTGCAATGAGTTTACTGTCACTAGATATTGACATGTTGAGGACGGGTAGCTTGTGACCATACAGGTTGAGGAATAGCTTAAGCGAATCAACAAAGAATACCTTGACTGTGTTGTCCAGAGTTGCAACGGCGAGCAGTCTGGAATCCGGGGAGAAGTGGATACTCAAAACGTCATCATTAACTTTTAGTATGCGTGACTGTATAAGCTTGAGCTGAGGTGTCGTGCGCTTGGTACCAGGAATCTCTTCCTGTACAATCTCAAAGTTCCAGAATTTGACAGTCTTATCTGCGCTACCGGTGATGAGTGATTTTCCATCCGGATGGACCTGCATTGTCCAAACCGCGCCTTCGTGTGCTGGAATCTTGTCGAGTAGAGAGGAGGCTGCAATATCGTATAGTTCAATATCGCCATCCTTTGTGCCCACCACTACGATCTTATCACCAGGTAAGAAGGCGCAGCACAGGGCGTATCCACATTCCAAGGTTCGCAGGCAATTCTGCGTCTTGACGTTCCAAATTTTCAAGCCACCACTTGATGCAGATGCCAGCATACGGTCGTCTGAGCTGAGTGCCAATGCACGTATGTCGTTTCTATGGCCAGAAAGCTCCACTGACAAGGTTCTGCTGTAGTCTGGCACATCGTCTGACTTGGTTTTGCTTCTCGTGGGTACTTCGTAAACTTCAATGAGGTTGTTGTTGGTGCCAACCAATAGTTGGAGTTTCTTGTTCCCTCTTATACGCATCCACGACACTGATCTGACCTTGCCCGCTGTGCGTACAGTGACATATGGAACGATGATGTCACTGATTTCCGCGTCTGCGAGATGGACTTTCTCCTCTCCATCCACATCTTCAGGTGCTTCGCCGTTGGTTTCGTGTTTTGCCTTTTCACGCCTCCTCTTCCTCTTTCTGATCAACGCTTTCCGGACTTCCTCTTCGCTCTTTATTCGCCAAAGCTCGACTGCCTTCTCTGCACCGTGCACCGCAATGTAGCCGGACTTATTGTGGAAAGAGATTCCCTGCGTTCTGTCCTTTCCTGTCCGATACAGCAGGCCTCTCGATGTGAGGTAGCTTTGTTCTGTTGCATCGCCGATGGTAGTTGCTGCTTTGCGGAGTCCAGTCAAGTCAATGGCCCATACTTTCAGCTCACCATCACTGCCTGCTGTGATGCAGCCGCTACCATCTGGCTGGACTCCTAATGCCCAGCACTCCCCATTGGTCTGTGCAATGTGAGTCTCGATGCAGTGTTGCGTTGTGACGTCCCAGATCTTGATCAATGCATCTTTACTGGTGGAGAGGAGATATGCCTGGTCGGTGTCCATGTTCGTGTCTTGAACCTCACCACCATCTTCCTGAGGCGCCGCGCCAGGGTGTATGAAGTGCAATCCGGTGATCTGGCCCTTGTGCCCCCTCAACTTGAACAGGCCAGTCTCGGACACTAGGTCCCATATCACAATGTCTGTATCTTTTGCACCACTGGCTAGGCGCACTCCCGTCTGGTCAAAAGTCAATGTTGTGACGGCTGATTTGTGTCCGTTGAAGCTGATGACGACAGTCGACGTGCGCGCATCCCAGATCCGTATGCTACCGTCCGCATAGCCCACAGCGAAAACGTCCTGGTCGATGTCGCTCCGACATATGACAGTGACCTCTTCCGTGCAGGTATTGTCTCGCCACCTGCTCAGCAGTTCGCCCTTCTTCACGTCCCAGCAAAGTACTTCTTCGTTGGCAGCGGCGTATGCGCGGCCAGCACCCGCATGCCGGCTGGATCCAGGCTGGACGAGACCGTCGGGAGTCCATACCATGTTGGAGGTGGCCGTCGCGACCACACCGAACGCGTCGGTCTGTTCATACTTGCTGCGCCAATTGTTAGACGGAGCTCTACTCGGACTGCGCTGTCATGAGAGTTCACCTACCTGTACGACTTGACCATTGCGCCTGCCTGCTTCTTTCGCAGCTGTCAAGTCTGGGTAGTGGCTTGCTTGCTTGTGTTTGTGAGAGTGAAATGTTCTATTGAAATCGCATGCTTTCACTGTATCGATATTGATCTTGCACCACGGACACTTGGTCGTTCGAGGGGGAGAAAACAGGGCATGTATGGTTGTCGTTGACTTTTCGTCGCACTTTTTTGACAGGGTAGTTAACGTTAGTTGGTCAGTTACGGCAAGTTAAAGGTAAAGTGAACCAACCCCCACACATTGCGCTAAAGTGTTTGTGCCTACCAGCTTCATGCACAAGCCACCAAGGGCCCCACTCTCCAACACCACAACGACACCCACAGCGACACCTCCGACACTCCGCATCAGCCTCGGGCGACAGCTTCCCCTACTGCCTTTTGCACACCCGTGGGAAGCCCAACCGTCACCATGCTTCTCCTCGACTACCAGAACGTCCTCATTGAGTCTCTGCTGAAGGACCGCTTTGCTGGGTGTGCACTCCCCTACCCCGCCGCCGCCGCCGTCCGCTTCGCCCAGCCAGGTAGCTAATCGTGGACAGAGGTGCTCCGGCAAACATTGACCAGGTCGTCTCTGACTTCGATGGCGTCACTTTCCACATCTCGACCCCAGAAAGCAAGACCAAGATATTAGTGTCACTCAACATCAAATGCTACCAAGAGTTGGTCCAGTACGGTGCACAGTCGGTGCTGGAGCGCGAATATGGGCCGTACATTGTCGAACCCGAGTCTGGCTATGACTTCTCTGTACTAGTCGATCTGGAGAATCTGCCAGAAGGAGACGGTATGGGCAATGGCAAAACAAGCTGCAACATGAGCCTCGTGCTGATAACTCACAGCGGAGAAGGAGGACTTGGTCAGGCGCATCTCTCTGCTCAAGCGAAACGCCATGGCGGCACCCTTTGAGCAGGCTTTCGACGAATTCCATCAATTGCAGGAGGAGGCTTCGAAGTACACCTCCGAGTCGGCGCCGCAAGGTGTGGCAGAGGGTGGTGTCGTGCGTGCAATCCACTATCGTGACGAGGAGGCCATCTATGTCAAGGCCAGCCACGACCGCGTCACAGTCATCTTCTCTACCGTCTTCCGTGAGGAGACGGACAGGATCTTTGGCAAAGTCTTTCTACAAGAGTTTGTGGATGCCCGGCGGAGAGCTATCCAGAACGCACCACAAGTGTTGTTCAGACACGACCCACCACTAGAGCTGCAAGGCATTCCTGGGGTTGACAAGTCTGGTTCTGCCGATATCGGATACATCACATTTGGTATGCGTATTTCATAAGTCGGGAATCCCTCTGCTAACGCGTGCAAAAGTGCTCTTTCCTCGCCATCTCACCAAGCAGAGACGAGAGGAGGTCATCTCACACATTCAGACCTTCCGAGACTACTTTCACTACCACATCAAAGCCTCCAAAGCCTTCATTCACTCTCGAATGCGCAAGCGGACGGCAGACTTCCTGCAAAGTATGTCGAAACGACAGTTTTACGGTCAGGCGCACATGCTAACAGATTACAGTACTACGTAGAGCCCATCCAGAGACAGAGGAGAAAGAGCGCAAGACAGCTAGTGGACGTACATTCAGGGTCCAGGCGTGATACACCCTGAATCTATAGTCTAATACCTCTGCTATACTAGATGAATTTCCCTTGAGCGTATCAATTTCGGCTTGTGTGCGTTGGTTGGTACAGTGGGCAAAAGCTGAACCTGTCGAGTTGCGATGGTGTACCGGTACCTATGCACATGTCATGAGTGTTTGTTAAACAATAAACACAACATTCAACCATGCAGCCGAGTACTCTTTTAAGATGTGATATGTCCGCCCTTGTAATCTAAACTTGAGAACCTGCTACGATACTCACCAGTAGCTGGTGTTGCGCATTGACCCCTCACAAGTCGCGACTCCTCCCACTTTAATCGCGTCCCCTCATGTTCGCAACCCCAGCTTCTGTGAACAATTCGCATCAGCGCCATTACCACATCCTGCTACGCCTCCAAAATGTCCGAAGGCACCCGGCCCAAATACGACAACCTCCCAGGCATTGATACAGCACCCGATATTTACGAGACCCCCGATCTCGCTGAGGATGTTTCGACCATTCAAGCCTCCACCGCTGTTTCCGAATCAGACGGCGACGACGACGACGATGAGCCAAACCGATCTGCAGTGAATCACCGGCGACTTCAGACGGATCAAGCCCGCAGTCGCTTCCAGCCTTCAAGGGTAGATGCACACGGTGTCGACTTCTCAGACAACGTCGCTGCACAGCGTCGATCATACCGGACATCCACACAACGCCGGCGGCGGAGAGGGGAAATAATAGGTGATGACAGCGATGAGGAGGAGGAGAGTTTTGCCAGGAAGCTTCTGAGGTTGAAGCACGAGCTGGCTGGCCTGGAGCACGAGTATGAGCAGAGACTGGCAAGCGGTGACAAGTCGAAAATCGAAGAGCAGGACCCCAAAGAGGTAATGGACATACTCTCAAGCAAGGTGGACGTCATTTATGCGGCGCATAAGGGAGGCGCACGTGGTCCAGAGGCGATTCTCGATCGGACAGTAAAAAAGTTCGACAGTTACAAGCCCTTCGACCCGAGTCGGCATATCAGCAGGGCAATCGAGAATCAACCACCGCTACCAGGAACGCAAATACAAAAGGGTCAACTCGAACTTGTGTTGAAAAAGGCGGCAGAATTTGATCAACGCATTACGCAACTGGAAAACAGCCTGGGCTTGAGTGGGAACACAATGCCAGAGATAAGCGAGAGCTCTACGTTCCCAGTCTTCACCACCTTGACGAGGCTGGAGCAGACACTCGCGTTGATTGGAGACGCTTCGTCAAACAATGTGGAGGCTGCATCGCAGCAAATCAAGAAACTCACAGCAGAAGCTGAACACCTCAAGGAAGTCAGGGAAGAGGCTGCACAAACGGGCTCAAGCTCTGCAGATGGCATAGCCGTAACATATCCAGACCAAGAAGCGAAAATAAACGCGCTCTACGGAACGCTACCCTCAATCGACAAGCTATCACCAGCACTTCCCTTGATGCTTGAGCGATTGCGCACATTACGCCATGTACATACAAGTGCGTGGCAAGCGGACCAGGTTTTGACTGAATTGGAGCGTCGCCAATCGTTACAAGAGGGGGAGATCAAGAAGTGGGAGCGACAGCTGGTAGTAATAGAACGCGATGTCAAAAAGAGCGAAAAGGCCATGGTCGATAACATCAAGGTTGTTGGTAACGACGTCAAGATGCTCGAGGAGAGGGTAGCAAAGCTACTTTCAGATGCGCCCGGGCAGTGAAAGCCAGGGAACTAGTTTTCAATGCTTGAGTATTGTGCATAGCCTCCGTACATTACAAGCCTTACAACCTGTACAGTGGTATAGAAAACGATCTCGAAGATGGGCATGGTAATCTGGACAGTGAAGCATGCATAAAGATACCCAATTCATTGCTTGGTTTCACCTATCTTTGGCTATAATCTTCTTCTTCGGCTGTGTATTATGTTCAATCTGCTCTATTGCTACTTGTGACTCCTGATGCTCTTGGACGATACAAAGTCTTGCTATGCTATCAAGGCAAAAAGCGCGAACTTGGCCATGGTGTTGCAAAGCGTTAAGGTATGGGTGAAAGGATACTAAGCCTATTGTTTATCGGTACCGTACCGTACGTGGTTAACTCAGCATCGGCCCAGCCAACCGGAGCCCGTTACTCCTCCGCATAATTACACTGTCTTGTTGACGAACAATTGCGCATGCATCAGCGCGATGAGATTATGCAACCATCATTCTCCTGGTCATAGTCCTTGCCAAGCCTGATAATTTACCATTTACCATCTTACTACGTACTGGAGCAGCTGCCCTATTGTTGCTGTCTCTCAAGGTGGAGCGATGGTGGTGTGAGGGGTGATCGGCGACAATTCCAAGGTTCCGCCGACGAAATTTATGTAGAACCAGCCTCCAGCTATTTCCTGGCTCCAGTACTTGATCACTACTCTCATCTTAAGCAATATAAATCATGTCCAAACGCAAGAATGAGTCGCGCGCCATTCGTACAGCGAAGAAGAGGAAGGCAGCCATTACCAATGAGGAAGTGTACAAGAACTTTCGCGCCGGCCTTTTTGACCCCAAGGTGCTCGCAGAATACACAAAGTACTACGCGAACTCGCAACCGTATGCGCCAATCCAATTCCCTCAGATCGCAACGTGCCTAATTCAGGGTGTAGCTATAAGCATGCGGTCATACAAGATCTAGTTGACGACAAGCTGCTGCGCAATGTCCGCAACGAGATTCGCGAAAACATACACTTTACGCCCAAGGAGACGGATATCTACAAGATTCACCAATCCGGTGATTTGGCAAACTTAGATGGCCTTGAAGATAGCGCGTTGGAGCGCCTACCGTCGCTACTCACTTTGCGAGATTCCTTGTACTCGTCGGCGTTCCGAAAGTACCTCTCTTCGATCACCAACTCTGGTCCATTGAGTGGTGTAAAGACTGATATGGCAGTGGTGCGTTGAGCTGGAATCATGTCCATATATTTTCATGCTGATTACGATGCAGAATGTATACACACCAGGCTGTCACTTGCTCTGCCACGACGACGTTATTGGCAGCCGGCGCGTGAGCTGGATCCTCTATCTGCTCGATCCCGACATCCCATGGAAGCCGGAGTATGGTGGCGCACTACGACTCTACCCTACCGAAAACCTCAAGACACCTGACGGCGATGCGGTCAAAGTGCCACAGCCTGACTTTTCGCTCTCGATACCTCCAGCATGGAACCAACTGTCCTTCTTTACCGTCCAACCCGGCGAGAGCTTTCACGACGTCGAAGAAGTATACAGGCGCGGCGTCGAAGAGAAAGTTGAGGAAGATGGCGGACGCATCCGCATGGCCATTAGCGGCTGGTTTCACATCCCACAAGAAGGCGAAGAAGGCTACGAAGAAGGTCTGGAAGAGAGACTCGCAGAAAAGTCCTCGCTTGTTCAACTACAGGGTGGCAAGGCAGACATCTTCGACGAGCCGCGCGCCCATTGGGTCGAGAACCCAGACTTTGAGGAGCAGGTCAAAGACGAGGATAAAGCGCTGACTGAAGAAGACTGCGAGTTCTTGATCAAGTACATGAACCCGCACTACCTGGTGCCCGACACGGTGGAGGAAATGTCCGAAAGATTCTCAGACGAGTCAAGTATCCAAATCGGACAGTTTCTCTCCAAAAGGGTTTCCGCCCGCTTGCGCGAATACCTCGAGTCCAAGGACCAGGAGCCAACCCCCAGTCTATCACCAAATCCCCACTCCGAGGCGTCCAAAGTTGGCGTTGCGCGACCCCCGCATAAACAGCGCTATCTATACCGTCAAGCCGTCCAGCCTCGACCCTCGACGCCCTACCCAGAAGACGACGGCACAATGACGCCGTACGACCAATTAGTAGACGACCTGTTCCCGCACCCAGCGTTCCACAAATGGATCTCCATTGTCACGGCGACGACGGTGAAGAAGAGCAATATCTTCGCACGTCGGTTTAGGCGGGGCATGGATTATACGCTTGCGACTGCCTATGAGGAGGAGGAGCCGCAACTTGAAGTCTGTCTCTGCATCACGCCGTCCAAGGGCTGGGGCGACGATGAGGCCGAGCAAGGAGATGCAGATGATGGAGGTGAAGAGGCCGACAAAGCACAGCGGAACGGTAGCAACAAGGACAAGGCCAAAGCCAAGGCCAAACCACAAGAAAAAGAACAAGAACAAGAAGAAGAAGCCATAGAAGTAGGCGGCTACGAAATGTACATGGCCGGCGACGACTCCGACTCCGACTCCGACCCCGACTCCGACTCTGAAGACACACCAGCACCAGCACCCCCAACCACAACAACAACCACAACCACCACCACCGGCGCCGGCCCCCGCCGCAAAACAAAATCCGACCCCGCAATCTACAAATCCGCATCCCACAACGCCCCCGACGACGGCATCCTGCTCTCCCAACCTGCATCCTGGAACCATCTTGCGGTTGTGCTGCGCGATCGCGGTGTCCTGCGCTTTACAAAGTATGTGTCGAGGAGTGCGCGGGGGGATCGGTGGGATGTGGTTGGGGAGTTTGGGGTGGAGTTTGGGGAGGATGAGGGGATTGAGGGGGAGGGAAGAGTTGGGTAATTTGTGTGAGGGGTGTTCATCTTGAGGGGATTTCTTCTTCTTCTTTTCTCTCTCTCTCTCTCTCTCTCTCTCTCTCTCAACAAAGCCTCTTCCCCTGTGTACAGCATTAGTCTACATGAGAGGAAAGCAACTCGAAAAAAACAGAACATAGCTGTCAAATAGCTACACGTATCAAGTACAGAAAAAAGGGCAAAAATTGGATCCTTTCTGCGGAATATAGTCTGGAGTATTTACAGTCGTATACATGCGCACATATTGTACATTTCTTTCTGTCTTGTTTTCCGGACATGTACAAAAGTCACGGATTCCATGCATCCATGCATCCACGCATCCAGACACATTCTTCAACCCCTCCAAAGTCCACAAACACAGCCAACAACCCCCCAACAGCTTATCCTCAGCCCTACCCCATAGCCTTCAAGAAATTCGCCTCCTTGATAGCGGCCCGGCGCTTATTCCGCAGCGCCTTTGTCAACTGCTCGCGCGCATCCTGTGCGGCAATTGCGCCGGCCAGACTGCCGTCGCCGGCGGGCAAGTCGATTGTTTGTTCGTAGATGGGGACCTTGGGGACCAGCATTTCCGGGTTCATTGCTTGTTCCTTGCGCAACCGTTTTGCGGCGAGACGGCGTTGTTTTTTGGATTTGGCTGAAAGGGACAGGGTTAGTGTGGTGGTTGTGAAAGTTGTTTGTGTGTGTGAGACAGAGAGGAAAGAAAGATGATCCGAGCAGTGAAAAAAAAAGGGCAAGGGAGAAGTAAACAGTCTCCAAAGAAAACTTACAAAACAAATCTCCCGCGCCCCCAACATCCCCCTTACTCTCCTGCCGCGCCAAAACCGTCCACAACCAGGCCGGATACTCCTCATCCGCCAACGCCACGGGATCCTGCGCGTTCTTCAAAAAGTTCAGCCCCTTGAGCGGTTGGCCGGCCGGTATACTGCTCTTCACAAGGGGCCCTGCCGACGGTTTCTTCTTGGCTGCTGCCGCGCTTTCGGCAGCTTGCGCTTTCAGCTCGGGGGAGGGGGCGGGAGTGAGGGGTGCGCTGAAGGGCTGTGCGGATGAGGTCGAGGTTGCGGTTGTGGAGTAAAGGGTTGGAGTGGTTGTGAGGAAGCGTTGGGCTTGTTGTTGGCGTGGTTGGTGGCGGGGAGTTTTGTTCTTCAGGGGGAATTGGGAGACCCTTGATGCCCGAAGGCAGGTGCGGCATATCATTTTGAAATTGTGTTGTTGGGGGGGGGGGAATGCTGGCTGGCTAGCAATCGGTCGAGGCTTGCTGGTTGCTGGTGTTCTCAAAAGTTTGAGGCATGGGGAGAGATCGGGATGGCTCCGGTGGGTTTCGCCGATGCCGAGATGGGGAGGGGCGCTCAACCATCAGCCTTGTGACTTGCGAGCGTATGTGGTTGTATGAACCCGGCATGTTAGGAGCTCACAACGACCAGATAGTCATTGATGCATGAAAGAGGATCCTGGCATCGGTGCCATGGGGCATGATGATTCCGGCTTCACATGCACCAATCTATAGCTACTGTCTATCTGGCTGGCAGTTGAGGCCCGCAATATACCGGTACACATGCCACCACTGGACATGCCACCTTCCCTATTCATCCACCGTCCCGCGTGGGGAACATCCGCATGGCCCGGACAAGACCCCAATGCTGTATGCCATGGCAGCGGAGAACAGACCTGAAGTCCGGCTTGATCATGATACCAGAGAGGAGAAATGACAGACACCACGAGTACACAAGACATGTTGTCGTGAAGTGTTTGATGGACATGTATATAACATACTTCAAATTGCGACCATGTATATCTGAGTAAGGCAGATTGCAGTATATGCAGTGTAACCAACCCTCACACCCATCACATCCACCATATCCGACGCACATGCCGCGCGCACTCGTCATCTGCCCATATGGCTGCCTGACGAAGCGCCTACTTCAACCCTCCAATGAGATCGTACAACAATGAAAACATGAAAAATTCGTGAGAGAAGGTCGGGAACGTGTGAGTGAGTGTGGGAAAGTAATGATTCCCAAATCGCCTGCCTGCCAAAATAGCCGGATTTGCCAGAACGCCGTTGTTTCCAGATTTTTGCGTCGCTGCAAAAGCCAACCGAGTGCAAGCAAACTCAAGTTGCAAAATAGATAATAGGATTATGTCAAGGAGTGTGAAGAATGAAAACATCCGATATGTACATGGGAAGCGAGAGCAAGGCAAAAGACCCATCTAGAGGTATCAAGTGGAGAGACGGTAAAAGGACCAGACCAGAAAGAACGACATGTCAGAGAGCTCAGATCCAGGCCATGGGTGCTGCCTGGTGAGCAGTGCCAAATCGGCTGCTGAATAGAGGTTGGATCTCGGAGAGATAGTCTGCCGCACAAAACGCTGCGAGGTTCCTGGAGCGCATCACGCTGTGATCGGCCTCTGACTCGACGTCTCGTGCTACGCCGCTGAACTCTTCGACAACCTCGTTAAGTTGCTCAAGCTCCTTGCCAAAAGGGTGGGATTCCTCCTCGATCGTGGCTTTGAACATGTCAAGTGATGCTCGCTGCTCCTTGGAACTGCGGACTGAGTTGAAGCTGTTGCGGCCAGGAACATGCTGAAGCGAGCGCTTGTGTGCCAGTCGCTCGTGGGCACGCTTGCTGTGGGAAATTGCTCTTGACGGAATGGCGGGCACTGGCTCTACAATCTCTTCCTTGACCTGCTGAAGGCTCGTGGTCGACGCAGACTTCTTGAGTGGCTTGCCAGCAGGCGCAAAGTAGCCTGAAAGGTGGTTCGTTTTTGGCGAAGTAGGCGAAGAAGATTCCACGGACGAAGCATCGGTGAGGGCGGTATCTCTCGAAGCATGTGAAGAAGCACGGGAGCGTGTTGATACGCTGTGGTCTGAGTCCTCGGCCGACGACTGGCTCAACGAAGTGGACGAGGAAACATGTCTGGTGCCAATGATATCCGGGGCGTTGTAGCTGAGCATGTTGGTGGTTGAAACGAGAGCGACGGGCAAGGAGATCTTGTTACGGTCAAAGTGCTGCGACATATTCCTCATGCTCTGGCTTCTGGTCGGGGTCGACGGCTGAGCCTCTGTCCGCTTGATGCGTTTCGTCATGGCACGAGCAAGCGACATGATGGCTTAATTCCGGATTGATTTGGAGGAATGGCAGGCTCACAGTCCAGTGGTGGGTTTGGAGGGCCGGTAATTCTAGGAAGGACTGCAGTTGGTCGCTTGCCGGAACAAGTGCTGCACGTCAGTGGGGTAGTGCCGAGGATAAAACAGATTCCAGAAGGCACGAGGGCAGACAGGTCGAGAAGTGTCCCGATGGTCTTGACTAGTGCGCCTGGCGTGCGTCGATTGTCTGGGAAGAGAAAGTAGTTGCAGTCAGGTCACGCTGTACACTGCGAGACGCTCGGTCGGAATCGCGTTTGTCTTGTGGTGGGTAGAGTGGTAGTAGAGTGCGACACCGCCTCCTGAGTCGTGATTGGAAGTGGTACTTGTGCTACCAAGGGTCGCAGTACTACAAGGCTGACGGATCGAGAATAAGTTTCAGGCTAGGAGGGTGTCCAGATGAGTTTCTCTGCGTTCTTTGCCGTGGTTTTGCTGTTCTTTTTGTTTTTGATGCTGAGCTCGCAGCGGTTACTGTTGCTGGAAGAAGTGTGTTGAGAAAGGAACGGGGTGGGAAATGATGTGAGTGTGAAGAAAGAGGGTCTGTCAAAGAGAGTGTGTGGAGACCAGCTGTGTCGTAAGGAGCGTACACCAGGTCGCGATCAAGGAGTGAGTGATTGCTCAGGGAAGCAAACAACGTAGGTAGAACGAACGAACGACGGAAGGGAGGAGTCAAGGAAAAGGACCTTGACAGAAAAGGGCAGATGCGCAGCGAGGGTGCGGGTTTGAAAAGCCTAGCACGGTCGTGGCGATGGGCTAGACAAGGCCGCCGCGTCGACATGTCTTCCAAAGATTGGTAGGGATGACAAGGGTTGGGGGGGGGGGGGGGGGTTGTTTTTTGCCCGGGGGGAATTGGGGGGGGGCCAAAGCCCCCCTCCACCCGCGAAACCCATGGGGAAAGGGAAACCCAATCCCCCAATTTTATGGGGCCCCCACCAGCTGGGAGAATTTTACGGAAAGTGGGTTTTTTTTCCTGTGCTAACCAATGGGCGGGGTGGGCCCCCAGAAGAAAAAATTGCCCCCCGTCCTCCCAAAATTAAAGGGGGGGGGGGGGGGGGGTTTTGGAAAAAGGAAAAAAAAAAAAAAGGAAGGGGGGGGTTTGGGAATTTTTTGGGGAGGGCCCC